CCAATGCCTTGAAAAGATTTTTATTTTTTATATTGCCTAAACAAATTTTTTAAAAAACAAAAATGAGCTATAGGTTTGGTGACATTTAATCAGTGAGACAGTGAGACAGTTAATGTCTGACACTTAATCCCTCGACAGATAGTCCTGCTGACACATTATATGCTCACAGATAGGCTAAGATCAAAAACAATTAACACCAACAGTAATCCATCAAATAAATAATAATAAGCTTATACATTATATGCTCACAGATAAACCCTCCTGTGGACATGTAAAATAAAAAAAAAAAAATAAATATATTTAACACAATTTAATAAAAGGTAATCAGAAGTACAAAAATTTATTGTAAAGTGAAACAGAGAAGTCAGTGGGACTATCTGTTTGGTGTTAATTGTTTGTGATCTTAGCCTATCTGTGAGCATATATCTGTCTGGATTAAGTGTCAGGCATTAACTGTCATGGGATTAATTGTCATGGGATTAAATGTCCCCACACAGTTATATATATATATATATATATATATATATATATATATATATATATATATATATATATATATATATATATATATATATCAGGCAAGGTCCTGGGTTTTAAAAAGTTGTAGCCAAAAAAATAGCCAACTGCAATATTTTGTCGCCAATTTTCAAAAAGTGTTGCCAGAATAAATAGTAAATATTTTTCCAAGTTTGTTAATGTAATAGGCTATGAAAATTGAAAAACACGGATAGTTATTACCTTACTGACAACAAGCAGTACAGCTATAATATAAAATAAATCATTACGTGATGATGACTTTTGCATCTGAGAAAAAGCATTATCAAATGTTAAAATATCAACTTTGCTGACATCGACAGCGTCTAGCTCATATTTTTTTTTAATGAAATCCCCCAATTGTATGGCTAGCTTCACAAAGTGCATCTTGCTGAATGCTGTAGAGTTTTTCTTGATTCGAAAACTTGGATCTCCATTTCCCCTAGCTACGATGATGGTGATGGTCGATGTGGTAGCCTCAACTTGTTTTGTGGTGGCTGTGTCCACAAGGTAGTACTACAGTACTAATATTAGTACTACCTTTTTCCCCCCAATTAAACTTACAAGAGTCAACACCTGGTATAAATGTACTATATATATATATATATATATATATATATATATATATATATATATATATATATATATATATATATATATATATATATATATATATATATATAGGCATTAGTGACCATCATATATATTCATGAAAAAATAATTGTTATTGACCTAGTCAACATTGTTATATGCAAATACTAATTAAAGTGACCCGACACATACACTCTGCGAAAGATGTAAATAACAAAAAAAGTCACTTTTAAATAGTTTTCTGAGTACTTAGCCTATAGTTCTTCTATGTAAGACCAAATATTTCAAACAATAAGAAATAATAATGGTAATTTTGACATGTTCAAATGGTTTAACTAACATTTACTGAGTTAATTACTATAAATGCTAATGTTGTATGTGATCCTTTTGTCTTTGGAAAATAATCGGCAGTCAGTTAAAGTTAATTATAATTATTTCATCTGAAAACATGAAAGTAAATTTGATCATGGGTTACAATTAGTTAGAATTGGGATGAAAATAATGATCTTGGCTTTGGATTATTAAATACCACACACATTGTTTACTTTAACTAAATTTATACCTGCACTGCATTTTGAGCTATCCTTTTGTTGAGGTTGTTTAGCATTGTGCTCATATGTTGGCATGCTTTTGTCCTTGCTTTTTGTTATTAAGCTACATGTTAACAATACAGAATTACAGTGGGATATAAAATGTGGAAAATAGTTATCGTATGTATGGTAGCTTGAGGCAAAATTTGAACAAACAAATGCATACCCCTTTTAGGCATTATTAGTTATTACCAAAAGGGGAGGTTTATTTGTCAATCAATTACTAATGCTTCACTCACTGTGTAACAGTCCTGTCTTTGAATTATGTCACAGAGCCACAAGGGTAACCTTTAGCTGTGGTATAAAATTTGAAATGGGGGAACCTTGGGAGGGGGAGGCAAATAACGCACTCCACAGGGAGAAATGGCATGTTGTTTCTGAAAATTTTAAGTGTAATGGACCTGTAAAAAATGGAGATTATTAGTGAAAACGATGCTTAAATATAAAACTTTCCCGATGGCAGGTTTTAATCTGCATATTTTCGGATTCAATCTTTTTTGAGAAATAAATTATTCAATTATGCAAAACTTGTTTGTGTTGATATTTCTTGTTGCATAGTTCAAGTCTCTGCAGAGTCATAACAGGATTGACAGCAAAAAGTAAAAGATCAATAAGCAGGACTGCCAGGAATAACATCAGGATCAGCGAGGTTCCGTTGAATTTGCATTAAATCCAAATGCTATTAATTTTGTTAATTTACTCTTAGGCTGAGATGATGACCATGCAAGGTCTAATTTGTGTTTACCCATGATAATGATGCACTGATGACAGTAATCTACTTCAAAGGAAATCAATTATCGATGGTTCTGCAAAACTATGTATTGGTATAGTTACTTCTAGCTGTTTCTCAATTGTAGGTATATCCTGGTAGAATGACTGAGTTATTATAGCATATAGTACATAGGCCAGGGATTATGATGTAACATTGCAGGTGCATAGGGTTGATCAATACAATACAGGATTTGTTTATGTGGGAATATAAGTCTTTGACTTCCTTTATTGGTCCCACTGAATTTCTCCACTCCAAATCCATGATTATATATATAATTTAAACTGCCATAAAGGCTGTTGCCAAAATAAATGACAACTGGTTTTGTCCAGTACCATGACATCATGCCACCTGTACCATTCCTCTTGTTACAGGCCCAGGGTGTGATAGTCACTAATACAAAATTCCCATTGGTTTTTTTTCTTGCAATAAATTGAGTCACTATACAGGCCCATGGGGTGAGGGGGTGGGTCTGTAATGTTCCCATTATGGCTAAATAACCCCACTTTAATACTTCTGTGGGTCACCTTGCACATAGTACAATCATCTGACATTAAAACAAAAATTAATGTTTCTGACTTTCGCTTATGATGTGAAGAAAGTAAATGGAGTTAACTTCAGATGCAAATGTAAAACCCCAGTATATATCATACACAAAAGTAGCAAAACTCATTGTCATGGATGAGATAAAGACCAAAACAATTTTTTTACAATTATTAACTAGGAAAAAGTGCAATATTGTATATGTAAATAGGGATGAACTTACCTGATAAACAGTGACTAAAATAGCTGCAACTGCAAAAGTGCCTGCAATTCCTTGTGCAGCCTGGGTTTGCAGGAAAATAGGAGGCTGGGTATTGTTCCTTGTCACATTGTTTATGTTATGAATAGCAGTAGTGATAGAATGAGCAGTTACATTGTACACAACAATTGTGCTATTATCCTCATGGAGTGGGGTTGTGGAATTACCGTTTGCATTCATCTGAAAATCAATAATGAAGTAGTCATGGTTATACATTTAAAAGAAAAAAATTGGATGGGTACTAGCTCATTTAACTTGTTCATTTTATGTACTAGAAACAAAAGAATGCCATATCACAATAATGTTTTAAATATGAGTAATTTCTGACATTTCTACCAGATATTGAAGTGCTATAGAATACTCATAACATTGGATGATCATTTATCTCAGTGCATCCTTGGGAAAGCCACTTAGCACTATATATAGCTCCCATTTCTTGAACATGATATAACAATAACAAGCCATACAACTTTAATGGATAATTTTAAGGCTACTTAACAAGAGTTTTTAAATATTTTTGCCATTTCCTCTGTTGGGCTTTTCTATTATATGTTGAATGATTAATGGAGAAACTAAACATTTTATATGATTTGATTTATATACTGCAACTAACCAACTGATGCAAAAATATTGCAAATGTTTGTCCATATTAAAAGTCCAAAATATATTGTTCACAAAATAAATATCTTATTAGTATCATAATATTTAGTTTGGAGAAACATTTTCATTCAAAACTTAATGTTAATCATAGTGCTAGTACAAATCATGACTACTTCCTGACTACCATTGTTAACAAGAGTAGCAAATGACTTCAAGGTAAGAATCAGCTGATGCTTGATTTAATGAAAAAAAGTAAATTTATTTTAACAAAAATCAATTCATTTATAAAATGTGAATAGTCACTCATTGTGTGCATCTTTTCAATACATTGTAGATTAATTCTGAACATTTAAAATTACCACACTTTCAACTAGTCAATTTAATTTTCGATGAATAATGATACTCAATAACATTTTTATCCTAGCTTGTATATCTTGTTTGTATTAAGCCAATGTTCTATGCCACATTGTTTTTATTGAATAACTTGAGAATAAATTTTGACATATATGTTTATATATGATGTACTTCATAATTCATCTCTGCTATAAATAATAGAGCACTTATTTGCAATTTCTATTGTTACTGAGGGTATTATTGTGATGTGTGCATCAGACATTTATTCAATTTAATAAACTTAATGAAACTTAACTTGATATATGTGATGTGTGTAATGTATTATACTAATTTTATAGTTCTAAATATCATTTTCATTTCCATGTTAAAATCAGTATTGTCTTGTTTTGATTCAATCAAAAAGTGTACATCTCAACTTATTTCCCATATTTTTCTTTTTGACTTATAAGAATAGATCTGAATGTATTATTAATACAATGGCCACTCCTGGATACAATATAACAATGTGAACTAAGATAACATTTATATCACCCCATAATAATTTTGTGATCTGTAACTGCTGGGCTAGGCTCAGGTGTGTAATGGAATTTTTCGAAGTCACTAACTTTGACTCTTGTATACAGCATGATATACTAGGTCAAATGTCAGAATGGGTCGCCAGCAGCAATAGGATAACCTTTTTTTGACATTGTTGATTCTGTCCTTAATGTTTTTTGGTTTCTTTCAACATTAACCTTGTGTGATCCACTTGTGGTGCACCGCTCTGGTGGCTTAGTGGTTAGAGCGTCCACCTCGGGTGCGGGAGGTCGTGGGTTCTATCCCCGGTCGAGTAATACCAAAGACTTACAAAAATGGTACTAACAGCTGCCTCGTTTGACGCTCAGCATTAAGAAGTTAGTGTTAGGTCTGGTCGGCCTGGTGTCAGGATAATGTGACTGGGTGGGACATCATGCCACATGTCTGCGTCATGATGCCCCAGTGTTAGACATCACTATAAACTGACATAATGCAGACATCGTAGCGATATGACTGAAAAATTGTTAAAGCTATGTTAAAAATCATAATCACATCACATCACTGGGCCACCTGTGTGATCAAGATCTCTAATGAAAATCGGCTCATAAGCTTCAAATAAATTGCACTAGCTGCAATACTAAATTGCACTAGCTGCAATACTGTAGTCTCTATTGACATTTGAATGGGTACTTTAGTACAAACGAGTCATTTGCTAGGATTCACATTTTAAACAATTCTGAAAATGTACCCTTCTTGCGCAGCGATTCGTACGAAAATATTCTTTTGAGAATCCATATGCAAAGTATGAACTAAATTCTGTTGTTTTTTTTCAAACATAATAAATACTATGCTAAAATAGTTGATAAAATTGTATACTTACTTCTGCTTTATTCCGGTTTAAAACATGTGAAATATCGTCATGTTTATTAACTGTGTTAGGATAATCGTTATCACTGTCACCCGTTCAATTATCTGTCATACTAAGCGTATCAGTAAAAAACACAGGAAGTGACGATTAACCTCTTGATTATGACGTCAAGCATCATTAATAAAGATCGTAATTTTAAAGTATTCGTAACATTTATATAGATTCATCTGCCTTTAAATAACACAGTTGTAAATCTCATTTACAATCAGAATCACCAAATCGTCAATCAGCAGAGAAAATTAACATTTTAACTGGACACATTTTTAAAGTTCCCTCCCCTTAAATTATCTTCAACCAAATGGACATTAGTAAACTTCCTGCGGAATAAAAGCGGGAAAGCTGCGTGAATTTTTAGAAGAAAACAGCGCCCATTTTTTTTCAAAATGCAGCGATCTATTATGTCAGTTTCATTTTCGTTTTCCTTTTTTATATGCGTACATTAATATAATAAATATGAGCATTCTTTTAATTTTTTGCAACAGCATTTCATGAAAAATCTTAATAATCATCTATGGACAAGAAGAACTGTTCCTCGATTAATTGATCAAAAATTCTATTCCTGCCATTATTTATATCCTTGTCTTTGGATAATTAGTAATTGTGGCGTCACTCTGTCCTTACGTCCGGCACTCGTAAGCGTGAATCGTCCGATATAGTTGTTACAAAGTTTTGCTAAGTGTTTCCAATTATATAGGATTAGAAGAAAATATACCTTACTGAGAGATTTTGTTGCAAGTTCATAAATCAATATAATAGTTATTTCATCTCGTTATTTATTCTCTTGTAATTTGAAAGCATGAAATAGGCGCTGAGCATGATGTCTGGTAAATTCTTACTGAATGATACATTAATTAAACACCAATACTTTACATGTTGTGCTGATTAAAGCAAATCAGTTATTAATAAAACTGAGTTTATCCACTTGCCTTTGACAACTGGCTTTATGAGGCGCCATATTTTCCAGTTTTGTCTAATTATAATTTGATGGGCAATCAACAAATGCTGATAATAAAAGGTCAGTCCAGTCAGGTCATAATTGATTCTTTCTATAAAGATAATCTCAAAACAATTTAACCTTTTCAGGTATGCACACCTAAATCATGACATCATTGACCTGTTAGCTCTGCCCAGTTCATTTGGACCTATGTGATTATATTGCTGATAAGATGTAAATGAAAGCTTAGCAAATGTTGATAACTGTAATATACAGTAAATTATGCCAGATGTTAATCAAGGGTAATTAGGCCTGATGCTTCAGCTCTAATCAGCTTGCATCATACAAACAAGTTGAATTTTCCATGCATTAGAAACAGGTCAAATTGAAATTCCAAGCATTTCTACAAGATAATAAATTGTGTCTGATTTTAGTTTGGTACAAAATTAAATTGTGGAAATCTCATGTAATCAAATAATGTTAGATATTGCAGATTGCCTCATGTTATATACAATACATGAATAATGGATTTAGATTATGTTACTGCGAGTTCTTTTTTAAATTTTCACTTTGTATATTAGAGGAAATAAATTGTTGAATTAAACAATACTTGTCAATTTTCACCTTTTATTGTTACTTAGTAAAAAGACCATAAAGTCTTAACAATTAACAAGATCACTGCATAACTGATATAATCATCGGGTAACGTCAGGCTTCCTAGTATGTGGTTTTACCTTTTATTTATATAGATTTACCAAATATATGAAATGAACCAAACTGCTTCCATGCCATTACCTCAGGAGAGTTTGTTATTTTACATTACTTGTGATTGAATCTTACAGTCATCCAGAAAATATGTAAGTAGGTTAAAAAAAGCAATTAAAAACCTTACGAGTTGATTTACATTTTAAATGAACATATTTATAATGCAGATTTACGTTTTAAAAAAGCCAAAAGATTTGAAAATTATAATTCAATAGTCATTTTTATTTTAATACTTTTAGCTTCAAAAAGAACTCCTTATTAAAAATTACAATTTTCAGTTTTCTTTGATACATGTATACAGTCACAATAAAGCTCAGATAAAATATAATCCATGATGTCATATTTAATTCAGAGTATATAAATTGGGTTATAAACTGTTAGGGTTTCCCTTTACAATCACTTGTGTGTCAGAGACCCCTAAATTTTTAATTTGACCCACAGTTCTGACGCCAAGGTTTGTTTCTAACTCAGTCAGACACCAAGGGATTTTGCACACCATTAGATGTGATGTGATGTGATTATGATTTTTAACATGGCTTTAACAATTTTTCAGTCATATTGCTACGATCTAATATCTAGCACTGGGACATCATGCAGCAGACATGTAACATGATGTCCCACTCAGTCACATTATCCTGAAACCAGGCTGACCCATCATAACACTAACCTCTTAATGCTAAGTGCCACGCGAAGCAGCTTTTAGTACCATTTTTGTAAGTCTTTTGGTATGACTTGATTGGGGATCGAACCCACAACCTCCCGCATCTGAGGCTGACACTCTAACCACTAGGCCACCGGAGCGGTTCACACCAATGGAAAAGAGTGAAACTTCGTGGAAATATCGAGGATTATTTTTCAGTGAGTTTCATATAATGAATTAACACCCCACACCCATGCCAAGTTTCATTGAATACATTGTGAATTTAGTCATCTAAATCTAAAATCTAATTAGAAGACATTTTTGAGGTAATTTGGTTTTATTGAGACTAATAAAAGGAATGTGTTATTTTGCTGTTCATCTTCAAATTCATTATGATCAAAAACACTCATTTGGTGTTGAAAATGGAATAACAGTATTAAAGGGCAGTGACAGATGTTCAGTTAAATCTAGGGGTTCTCTTAACTAATTCTATAGGAAGTGAGATATTAACAATTAAATTTATGCAAATCGACTTTTGATAACTTGACCAGAATACAGAAATGTGAAGAGTTTTCATGCACAGTAGTCCCCCTCTTATACGGCCACCCCTTCTGCAACAGGAAAGTGGCCTTATAAGGCGGGTGGCGTTTCCAGAGGGGGTCTAAATTTTTTGTGAGAAGTATATGTACGTAGTAAGAAAGCTTCATTTTTCAAAGCATTTAATAACTTTGTTTAAAAGCAACATTAACTATTGAACGGTTCTTGTGCTATAATAGTTGACTTATTTCAAATGAATATGCATTAATAGTTCTTATTCTTGGCGTAAGCGTTGTCATCCACGTTGCAGAACCATTCAAAAACGTCATTTGAATCTTGGTACATACACAAATCTCTTTCTATTTGCTCCATTTTCCCACTGCTGCTAAATAACTTATCGGTTACGATGTTATTTATTCGAGTCTTTTCAACATAAAATTGTTTTATTCTAGTCTTTTCTACCTAAATTTGTTTGGCCAGTCCCCCTCCCCACCTCACCTGATATCGTAGACTATAATAACCCACGTTTTCTAAAATAATCATCTTTGTTTAAGTGATGACATGTTAATGTTTGGTAATGAATTATTCGATGTGGCTAACTATGTGATTTAATTATGCAGACAACACATTTGTTCAGCGTACGAAATGCTTTCTTCGTAAAGAAGCGACAAAATTGTGTTGTCACGTGAGTTTTCAGTCTTCGTCTAGTACCTTGTTTCTCTTTTTAGCCAATGCTGACCGTGTGATCTTGACTTTACGTCCAGTTATAATCCTCAATGTTGCAACTACCAGACTGATAAAACAATTTTTTTCTGCATTTAAACAACCTGCCGTATATTTTTAAAGGCAGCGATTGTCACATGATTCATTAGTCGTAGTCTGGTACCCTATTATTTTTATATTATATTTTTTTACTCTAAGTGCGAAAAACGGCTTGGATATGTACGCAGATTTGATCTGAACAATAGCACATCGCGGCCGTTAGAATTTATCAACATTACAATTGTTGTGTAATAGCCATTAATTATGTAAGTTAACAAGATCAACATCTTGTAAAGGGAAGCCGTCAAGGCTATCAAACCATTTTTTCGGGCAGACTTTTGTAGGGTACATCAATATTGCCCCTTACTACTATTAATAAGTGTAATCTTAACAATTATCAGTGGATAAACCGGACGTCTTATGATAACACGAAGTAAAGATATACGGATTACCTTTAGGTATGGATTAAAATTTGAGACTTTCTCGGTTTTATGGAATAAATGTGGCTTCTCATAAGGTATAAAGGATATAATATTAACCTTAGTGGTATATGTTGAACACTTTTCTGAAGAACGAAAACCTGATGTCGGGGAAACAGAAATCGGATTACTTAACACAATTAGAAAAAAAATTGTTCTAGATACATATTACAAAATAAAATGCGGCCGCTTGTGAGGGGTAAATTTTATGTTTTTGCAAAAATATGTTGGCCGCTGGTCGCGTTAGCCAGGTGGCCTTTTGTGAGGGGTA